TGAAAGTTGAAAACAAGCGAAAATACGTATAATTTAATTATTGAACACAGTGTTGGGAAATTTTGTTTAGAACAATATTATTAGAATTTAGAAATAACTTGGACAATAAGAGAAATTTTCATCCGCATAGATAAATACAGAAAACTTGAATCAAAAGTATAGAGAGGTTTAAATCGATCGAGAAGGCTCTCGAATCACATACGAAGAGAGATCGTGAAAATTTTTTAGACACGCAGTTTATTCTTTCATGTAATAAACATTTCGTTTATTACGAGGACTGTTTAATTTCCAGTTGATTTATCGCACGATCGCAAATTTGATTTTCTTCCAGCTCGATTATCCGAAAAACCGCTTATCCGAACGGGGATTTGTCTGCCAATTAGTTCGGACAATCGACGTTTTGCTGTATTCATTTTCGATTGATATTCAAAGTTCGATAAATTGGGGAGAAGAAAATTCTAGCAAAAAAAGAGAGGGTTCGTTGTAAAGGGGAAGGTCCAGTCGTAAAAAAGATTGCTCGGTGCTTTTCAAAAAACAATTTCACACATACTGTGACAGTTTATAGCATTCTCGACAAGAGAAGTGTCCTTACTTTATTTTCACTGCTCTATACAACGTAAAAACCATCTTGAAATAAAATGAACGATGCACTTTCAAAGCAGAGGCTTCGACAGCTCTAAAATCAGTACAAGTTTATTATTGTATGGTTTCTTCTTTTTATGACAGTTTGAATACTTAACTGTGGAATATTAATTATTGACGTTAAATCAGTGCTAACACCGAGCCAATGATACTTTTGTTCAAAGTGATTTATGAAGTAACCTTATTCACAAAGGGCAAAATTCAATAATTAGTTGCCCTTCCTCCCCTTTTTCTGCAATAAATCAAAATATAAAGAAACACCTTCTGGTGACATGTTGTAGAAGCAGACCTTCTATAATAACTCTTGTGCACGATTCTTAACACTAGGACCACCAGAGTGGTCAAAATGATAAATTTATAAT